CGGCTATCAAAGTTTCTCGAACTATACTGACCTGATTTCCTTTTAATCAAGGATATGTAGGCAACCTCTGAAGCAAGGTTCAGTCATCTTTTTCAAAATGTCTTCATCGGAGTTTGAAACAGTAAAAAATTAGCCACTTCGTTCACTTTTTTTGCTTGAAAACTCTTCATGTTTCCAAGCAAAGAGGGGCATGCAGTGAACACTTAATTTTTGACGTGTTTATTTTACTCCTATAATATATAGTAATGTATTCTCTTATATTTTCTTGGTATTTTGAGTTGTTCGTCTTTGTTTGTATTTTTTTTAATTGGTCCAAATGACCCAATTTTGATTGAATTGGGTTGATTTAAATCAAATTCTGACAGCCCAATCAATTTTGATCCCGTCCAATAGAAATGGTCAAGATTGAATCTCAACCATTCATGATAGTTTGATCCAAGGGCTCCTATGTGACCCTACCAAAAAATACAAAACTCCAAAAATCAAATTTTTTTATTAGATTTTATTTTCTTTTCCCCTTTGCTTCCACCTGCCACCGGCCGGCCACCGCTGCCACCGGCCACCGCCCTTTGGCCGGAAAAATCTCCAAAAAAATTTACCATTTCTTCCTTTCACCCTTCTCTACACAAATTCGCAAACCATTCATCCTTATCCAGAGCCAAACTCTGTAGATCTAAGAAAAATCAAATATGAATCTTCACTTTTTTCTTTAGATTTACGAAGTTCTGGTCATCCCCATCCTATACCCTTTACATAAATGTGTAGAGCTCTTCAAGGGCTATCCTTTGTTATAAATTTTATGTCCAAAATTCGTCAAAAAAAATTCGGCGACCTTCATTCACCCAAAAATTTATGTCAATCTTTTCCCCCTCTCATCCTCTATCCGAATCCGTCATTATCACCTTTTTTTTTAAAACAGTATAAGTCATTTTGGTGCCGGATTTGTATTGTTTTGTTAGTGTTCTTTAAGTTTTATCATGTTGAAGTTTTGCTTGAATTTTATTTTATTTGAATTTTTGTTTTTATTTTCTGCCTTATTTGTTGTGTTTGATCTTCAAAATAGTTTATATGTTTGGATTTTGTGTTAGTGGTCTGATTTTCTTTTGATTTTTGGGTCTTGATCAAATGGGTCTACATTTTGGGCCTATTTTAAATTTTCAAATGACTCATTTAGCTATTATTCAATTAAGAGCAACTTTCACATATAGCAAACATAAAAATCATATTTGTATGTTATAGCTATAGTTTTCATAATTGCGCTCCATAGCAAATTTTATGTTTGCTATTGAGCTTTTGATTTGTATAATTCGCTACAAACATCCAATTTTATACAAATTGTTTAGTTTTGTATAAATTCATTTATACATTGTAATTTGTATAATAAGATCTGTATTTAAATAATTATAAGTATATAGGACGAAAATATGTATTTGTATATACATTTTTCTCTCGCTTTATACAAACACAAACGCATTTTATACCTAAATGTATAAAATGGCTAATTGTATACCGAAAATGGTTAATTGTATATGGCAAAAAACAGGGATGTTTGCTGCTAATTACAATTAAAATAAACTATGGCTATATCATTTAATTTGAATTAATAGTTTGCTATTTCATACAATTTTCCCTTCAATTAATGAATAAAAGAAATGGGTCATCTAAAAGGGTATTTTGGGCGTATTTTAAATTTTCAGATGACCAATTTAGCTATTATTCAATTAATAAATAAAATAGGTCATCTAAAAGGCTTTTTAATTAATTATTATCTTAGAAAAATAGAAAGAAAAAAAAAAGAGAAAATTCTATTGGCCATCTTGGGTGGCACCTTGGGAAGACAAAGAGTCTAATGCATGCATTGACTCTTAAGTTTTCAAGAAGAATGAGTGTTAATATTCACCGCCTATTTAAACACACTTTTCTTTCATTTCAAAGAGGACAAAAAAGAACAAGAACAAAAATTAGAAGAGGGAAAATCATAAGAATAGAGAGAAAAAAAAGTCTTCTTCTAAAAGAAAAAAAAAATTTCATCGTTGGTGGTCTTTGGGAGTTCAATTAAATTTTGCTTCCATCATTGTTTTGACATCATCTCTTTAGGTATATCTCTTTCCCTACACAACATAACTTCAAAAAAATAATGAAACATGTTTATATTTTTGATTAAGAAAGAAGAAGAGTATTTTCCTTTTAAATTTGGAATTACCAGGTGACTCGGAACACCTAAAAAACTCAATTCCAAGTGGCGATTCAAAAAATAAAAATAAAATATTTTTCCTGTGCTTTATTTTTTTTATTAAAAAAATACCCGTCACATCTTTAACTATTGTAAAAAATGAAGTGGTGTGACAAATATGAAAGTGATGATATGATTATTAATGAAAATGACGAACAACCGACTCAGGATAACAAAGTCATGTGTTTCGTCTACTTCACTATGTATGGAATGGTTGGACTAACTCCGAACTACCACATTGCTCCAGTGTCATATACAATACTTGTTATTATTGCAACAAAGATTCATGATCCAACTTGTTGCAGAAGTCATGAATCTTGTTATTCTATCTTGCTCTGTAATATAAAATTTATAGTTAGTTTTGATAGTTTTTAGAATTTATGGGTATAAATCACAATTTAAAAAAAAGTAAAATATATTTTTCAAATACTATGGTCAAAACACATGGTGATTAATAAAAGGGAAAAGGGTCAAAAATACCCCTCAACTTTGGTTTATAGTTTGACTTTACCCTCGCCGTTAAAATAAAGTTAATTTTACCCCTCCCGTTACTAATTTCACCAAAATTACCCCTCATTTGACGAAATCCCCAAAATTGACCCAAATTACCTGAATTTTAAAAAAAAAATCCTATTTCTTATTTTTAACCCAATGTCCCGACCTGCCCGACCCATTTAGAGGATAACTCACTCCCCTTTTACCCATTCTCTCAAATTTTCCATATAACTTCTCCTCCATTGTTCTTCATTTCTCTTCCCTCTATTTCAAAATCAAACTCTACGTTCATCTCCACAAGTAATATTTATCCACATTTTTCGTAATTCGATTATCACATTGAAATTCGATTAATTCGATAATCATTTTTTTTAATACTCTTAAGTTACACAAGTTTGTTTACCAATAAATTTCATTCTTTCTATGTTTCCTTTTGCCACCCAACTTCCATTTCTGAATTTCTCCATCAAACCTAACTCTAAAAGCTAAAACACAGTTCTCCAATTTCGTAGATTTTTCAGTTTTTTTATCCCCAAATCTATCTGGGTTTATAGAAAAGTAGATAAAAATCGAATCTGTGTGTTCTTCTTCCTGCAGTACCCAGAAGGACGTCTTCTTGTTCCAGCAGTAGCCAGCGAGAAATCGAACAAAATCGCGATCTCAATCCCTCTCTTTGTACGAGAAAATTCTCAAATCGGGAGAGATGGAGCAATCTTGCTCGCATCTCGTTCGTACGAGAAGATTTTTCGAGAAACAAGAAAGGAAGGAACTTGTGGAGATGAACGTAGAGTTTGATTTCAAATTAGAAGGAAGAGAAATGAAGAACAATGGAGGGGAAGTTGTATGGAAAATTTGAGAGAAAGGGTAAAACGGGAATAGGTTATCCTCTAGAGGGGTCGAGGCATTGGGTTAAAAATAAGGAATAGGTTTTTTTTTTAAAATTCGGGTAATTTGGGTCAATTTTGGGGATTCCGTCAAATGAGAGGTAATTTTGGTGAAATTAGTAACGGGAGGAGTAAAATTAACTTTATTTTAACGGCGAGGTTAAAGTCAAACTATAAACCAAAGTTGAGGGGTATTTTTGATCCTTTTCCCTTTACAAATTGATGATCTAAAAAGGGGTATTTGTGATCAATTGGATGGGTG